TATAAAGCGTCCTGCACCAAACCAAATCCAGTTACCATGGGGTCGCTTCGGACTCATGGTGAGGCCATGTGTTCCATGCAGTTTTCAAGGCTGTGAACTTTTGGAAAGAGATCACCAGGCCTAGCATCTAAGCTGCTTTAAACCAGTGGCCTTCTGGTTAGTAGTTAGTTGTACAGAACCAGGCACTTGATAACTGTTCATAATTAAGGACTCATGATCTCCTGATAGACCTCCAATGCCAGCCAAGATTTTAATTCACTCAGTTAACAACACCAAGAAGAGAAGAAACAGTAGAGGAAACCAACTTCTATGGTATTTATTATAGATTTGGCACCTGCACCTGTGAGGAGTCCCGTGAGATTAAGAAAGCAGTGCAAAACACTATCCCTGCCTTAGACAATCCTACAGCTTTTCTTGGAAGACAAGATCTATACAAGGATGGGCCAAAATGTACTGCTACTAGGATTCAACTTCATCCATGCACAGGTTTATTCCAAACAAAATGAACGTAAACATGCCTTTATGATCAGCTTCTGGCAAGTTCTTTCAGCAATACATTTATCATGGCCTTGTTAGGGTGTCTTCAAAAACAGACTATTAAAAACAACAACACCTCATGCACAAAGATCAGCTAACTCAAAGAGTTTATATTTCTATCAGTCTTTTAAGCAAGACAGAAGCTTAGGAAGATGGTTTTAGAGGGGGGATTATACCCAGAGGTGGGGCTGGGGCTTATCAATACAATCCAGAGAGCAAGATTCAAAACCATGGTTTCCGAGGGCATCTGCCGAGCCAGTTAAATTCAAGGCAGAGAGGTCAGCTCTGAAGACAATGATGTCTAGTTTTGGGACTCCAAAGGGGTAGTCTTGATAGATTTTCTCTAAGAGTACAAAATAGACACAGGTGCTTACTCTGAAGAGATTTTAAGAAAATTAAAAATTGAATTAGTGAGAAACAAAAACCAGAAAAACTGTGCAAAGGAATTTCCTTTCACCGTGACAATGAACCTGCTCATGCTTCAAGGCTAGCACAGGCTGTCCCATGAGAACGTCATCGGAAAACCCTACCCCGTTACCCTACAGACGTCTTTTTTAATTGCCCAAACTCAAAGGAATGAAGTTTGAGTCCCCGTGGATACCAAAATTGCTGTTTTGATGTGGTTTAAATCAAAGAGGGCAGAAATCTTTGGGGAAAGATTAGATAGATAGAAACAACACTTTCATAAGTGTATAACTTAGATGGAGGTTATATTGAGATGCAATAATTCACATAATTTTTATATTTTTGCTTAATGAAGATTTCTATGATTTTTAAACTTAACTCTGTATAATGAACACATAGGACAACAAGAGGAAAAAACCACTGGGTGTGCGGAGTGTGATTTTTGGTCCCCAAATATGAGATGCCCCAGAGGAGAACCATAGCCTAAGACAGAGAGGTTAGGATGTGGGGACAAATAGGAAGAATAACTTCCTTTCCCTCTGCTTCATAAAACACGATGCTCAATTTTCTCAATTGAGAAAAGCCTACTGTTGAAAATAGTTTGAAAACCAAGAGACTAATCTGTGAAAATTAAATTATCCAAAACTTCACGATGGAGTTGAGATCTGAAAGACGTTGACGATGTTAGGTACCATGGCGTGCATTCTGGCTCACAGAGGCCCCATGCACAGTAGAGTGAAACATTGCCCCATCTTTCACCCTCTTCACCCTGATTTAGTTGGAGCCCGTTGTCACAGCCACGGTGTCAATCCATCTCCTGGAGGGTCTTCCTCTTCTTCACTGGCCTGCTCCGTTAGCAAGCAGGAGGTCCCTTTCTAGAGACGTGCCTTTCCTGGTAGCAGGTCCAAAGTGTGTGAGATGAAGTTTCACCATCCTCACTTCCAACCAGCATCCGGGTTGCGCTTCTTTCCACACAGATGTGTGTGTTCTTCTGGCAGTCAACAAGACTTTCAGGGGTCATTGCCAACACAGTCATTGAAATGCAGTAATTCTTCGGTGGCATTCCTTACTCATCGTCCAACTTTCACATGAGGCGATTGCTAATACCGTGGCTTGGATAAAATGAAACCTTAGTCCTCAAGGTGACATCTTTGCGCTTTCATACTTTAAATAGGTCCTGTACAACAGATTTGCCCAGCCCAATACACCGTTTGATCTTTTGACTGCTGCTTCCATGAGCATGGATTGTGAACCCAAGCAAAATGAACAGCTTGACAACTTGAATCTTGACTTTATTATGATGTTGCCTATTGGTCTAGTTGTGAGGATTTTGGTTTTCTTTGTCTTAAGTTGCAATCTATACTGAAGGCTGCTGTTCTTAATCTTCATCAAGGGCTTCAAGCATACAGATGGAAAAAGTCTAGTCTAAGGATTCAACCCTGATGCACACCTTCCCTGAGTTTAAACCACAAAAAGATCGCCTTGCACTGTTCAAATAACTATTTGTCCGACTTCCACAGGCGTATGAAGCAATTGAAAATACTATGGTTTGGGTCAAAGTGACATCTTTGCTTTCCAACACTTTAAAAAGGTCTTGAACTGCAGATTTGCTCAGCGAAAATGTACTGGTTCTTCATGAGCAACAATGCCGTTTTCTGGAAACTCATTCTTCTCAAGGTTACCCACAGCTTATTATGGTAAGAAAAGTGAATGCCTTTGAAGAGAGGCAGGAAGAAAAATATTGGAGACTGAGGCGAGGAGAGATGGCCACATTCCAAGTTCATTCATTCATTGAGCAAGCAGGCAAAGAAATGTGTGTTAAGAAGGCAACTCAAGCAAGGCAATGTAGGCAAAGCAAGTCCAAGAAAAGGCATAACTCAAGGACTCGAGTAGAAAGAAAACATTTTTTAAATGATGGCAACATATGTACAAATGTGCTTGATATAATGGATGTACAGATTGTTATAAGAGGTGTAAGAGCCCCCAATAAAACGATTTACAAAAAAGAAAAGAAAAGGTATAACTAACAACAACAAAAGTTATCATGTTAACTAACAAATTCTACCCTGAAAACATAATTTGACTTTTGAACAGGGATATGAGAATAAAACCCCACCACCCAAGCCCCTGCAAAGTGTCCACACAGTATGTATTACCTCCTTTACTCTTCAAAGGGTCTCTTGACAAGTATAATAGTACCTTCACTGGTTATATGGGACATGGTCTGATTGTGTCTGACCTCTTACTCACTATGGTATCTACCCCAAAGTTATTAGGAAAACAGTGTTTGAACTATTTTCATGTATTTATTTATTAGCTTAAGTTTCCTATTTGTAATTATTTCCAAAAGTTAAATGAATCACTTAAAAATTAAGATCATATGCCACATAATACTCCAAAGGTAAAGCGAGAGAACAAGATAAATATTGGAAGCAGTAGATGAATCTAATAAGATAACTATATCCATTTAGTTTGAAGAATTTCCTAGATGCCAAAGGAAATATATATATGACTATATGATTTCTTTGTCCTATAAAAGGAAACTTACTAGTTCTTTAAAGAGAGATGAAGTTTTATTTTGGTACTAAATTCTGAGAGTATTTTCTAGACCATCATTATATATAAATTATTGAGTAATGACTTTGTCTCTGATGGACCAGAGAAACAAAATTTATAAACACTCATATTT